TTAGTTATTCAAGAAAAATATTATCAATCACCACATATCGATATTGCAAATAGCCTTAACAGAATCGGTTTTGCGTTATACGGTCAGAAGAAATACGATGAAGCACTGGAATTTTATCAACGGTCATTATCTATTCGGGAGAAACTGGATCCAGTCGGTAACATTGATATGGCGACTGTTCTAAACAATATCGCTCTTGCTTTATATCAGAAGGGCAACTACGATATCGCTTTGCCATATTATCAAAGAACTTTAGCGCTTCGAGAGAAATATAGTGAATGTTCCCATGATGATATCGCTGATACACTCAATCGTATTGGTAATACACTATATGGTCGACGAAGGTTTGACGAAGCACTCGAGTTTTATCAAAGAGCTTTGTCTGTTTGGGAAAAACTAGATCCACTTGGTAATATTGATTCGGCGACTGTTCTTGGCAATATTGGTCTTACTATGTATGAAAAATATGATTATGATTCAGCACGTTTATATTATCAGAGAGCTTTAGTCATTCAAGAAAAATGTTATCAATCACCACATATCGATATTGCAAATAACTTTAACAGAATCGGTCTTACGTTATATGCTCAGAAGAATTACGATGAAGCACTGGAATTTTATCAACGGTCATTATCTATTCGAGAGTAACTAGATTTACTTGATAGTATTGATTCGGCGACTGTTCTTATCAATATTGGGCTTGCCCTATATGGGAAATTTGATGACGATGGCGCTCTTGAATATTATCGAAGAGCCTTAGTTATTCAAGAAAAATATGGGTGTGGGCGTGGGTGTGGGTGTGGGTGGGTGTGGTGTGGGTGTGGGTGAGTGTGGGCGTGGGCGTGGGCGTGGGTACCGGTGTTGAGTGTGGATGTGGTCGTTAATGTTCTCTTCTGTCTGAACCACACCCAGACTCACACGCACACGCACATCCACACCCATAACCACACCCACATCCACACCCACACCCACCTCAAAATTATATTCTTTTGGATAATGCTAAACGACCACAACGATCATGGAAAAAAAATGAAATTGAAGATTGATTTAATCAATTAATCAGTAAACATCAAAGTTCACTCAAAAATTACGGTTGATAGGATATATTATTACAAATATTTCGTCTAAGAAATTGAAGACTGATGCACTAGTTACCAAACTGCATGTGTGGGGACTCAGTCTTCCTAGCAATGATTGCACATTATATTCGATAAAACTGTTATCAACAAGATGTGAGAGGTATCTGCAAAATTACATGTATTACACACGTGAAGTATCTTGCAACGATATTCGTCTAAAATAACCGCATTTTGCGTCTAATTTTTTTCTCTTTAGCAACAGTCATACCCTTCGATAATTATTCGTTGATTTTCTCCATGCTATGCATTTTTCTCTTTCATTTCAGTGAAAGATATTATATTTTTTATGTAATACAGATAGAAGATTGTGTATTATTCTTCTTAAAGCGACACTACAGTACTTAGCAAGAATAAGAGAAATATGATTCTTATAAATCAATATATGAGTCATTATTTTGAATGTTATATGATTATTCATCATGACAGAGAGCATTTGTCTTTCTTTTTTTCTCTATGAGTATGTCGATCCGGTGGACGAGTGCCAGTCACACGACGTTCGTCAAGTGGATCAAACCAGCTATCAATTGCACCGATCAGTATTTTGACAACATACTTAATAAGAGAAAAAAAAAACAAATTTATTCTATAAATTAAAATATAACAATTATATGTACATACGTCACCAAAACTAAATGGAAAATCTGCCCCTTGTGCTTTATGAATTTCTTCTCTTTCTGATTTATAATCATCAGCAACATCCAATTTAGGTATTTTTTTATCCAAATTATTAAGATAACTATAAAAAAAGAAGAAACAATTAATGGACTGAAAATGAAAGAAACAATAAATTTCATTTACTCAATACATTTAGTATCATCGGTACAAGCAATAATTATAACTGGAATTTGATCAATTGGCTTACGTTCATAACGTAATACACGTTCAAATGGTTTTAAATCTTTATTTCCTTTATCATCTGTTGGTAGACCATCTGTAGCAATTAATATTAGTAATTTTCGTTCTTTAATGTCAACTTGTTTTTCTTCTAAAACTTGTCGTAATGCACGAACCATTGGAGTTAACCCTATGATAATATTGTGATGAATTTAAGAAGAAACTTTTATGCTTCATTTTTTATTTTTATTTACCTGCTGGTGGAACAGCAAATACAGGAATAAGTTGTTCAGCATTTTTGACATTACGCATTGCTTGACGATTTAAAAAGAAAAGGTCTATAATAACAAAACCAAATTTTTATTAAAATTCAAGTTTTTTCATTTACCAATTCCATTGGGATCAAAACTGTATCATAAAATGATGTAAAACGAGAAAACTTATTTTCAAATAAAAATAAAAACAACTTACACACATGCAATATCAACTACAATGGAAACCGTTTGTCGAAGTTCATCCCATCTTGTTGGATTACGGTCATATGGACCATGTACATCAGCTAATTTAGTTCAAATATTTATTAGACATAAGAATTTTTGTCGAAATACTGCGCAATTCAAAATAAATCTCTCTTTAAATATCTTCTCAATATCATTATTTCTTAAAACTTGTTTGTTAAAAATTATCTAAACAAATTTTGAAACTCAGTATGATCCCTTATACTTCCCAACTCGATTGTGACAAACATTCATAAAAAAAAAGCAGTCTGTTTAGGTATATATCGTTGAGATAATAAATTAACGAAGAAAAAAAAACAAGATAACAATATTATATGACAAAAAAAGATTTATCCCATAATAAATACGACTAATTGTGTTATTAATATTGTTCAGCTACAAAAATTATTAGGAGACTGAGAAAACTCAGTATTAGCCAATTGCCAACACAATAAGTTAATATAACTCAACATTATATCAATTTTAAGAGAAATAACTAACCAATAGGATTAAAATGTTAAAATAAAAGCAGAAATTTTTATTCAAATACATTGAGAAAATTACATGAAGTTTGAACATGTTTCGGCTCTGATTTTACAAGATGATATGTTTGTGTCAAAACTCAAAACCTGACTGAAATACACACTTGTACACCAAGGAAAATCCTATGCTGACTTATTATTTTGTAATTTTGTTTTATTTACATATAACTGAAAATGAAAATTTTCACTATTCTGAACAACAAATCTTTGCAATACTATCCGTTTCATAATTCTGGTAAATATTTTATAGCCAATTTATTATGATACTGAGAAAATATTTTCCAAGAAATTTATTCTGGCAAATGCGTTCTCTTACTGAGTGGAGTATTCATCGATCCAGAGTCTAAATAGATATACAAAGATATAATTTTATGAAAAATACAATCCTCAATTCTAAATAGAATTGATTGTAAGAAACATGATATTATTTATTTAGTGTACTATGAGAAGAATAAAATTCATCTGATATGTTTATCTTACCATCAATAATGAATACAATTTCGAATCCTTCTAGTGATCGTAATCTTGCTGCGAACTCCGGATTGATATCATATCGATCAACTAGAAATTGAAATTTTTCCATGCGTTCATTGTGCGTCTCTTGTAATGACTTGGAACCAACTGTATTTGAACAAGTTGATGAATCCGACATAAGAGTTTTTTGTGAACACATATGATGTTTATCAATTCCTAATTAATGAAAATAATACACAATGCAAAATTAATAGTACAAAATGTTGACTCCTATATTTTTTCATAGATATATCTCTATATGAAGAAATTCTGTTATGATTCGACCGGAAATATTCTTTTTTAAATCATGTATTGCTTATTTCTATACGACACTCATAATGAGAAAGGGATAAAAAAGAGACAGTCAAAAAAATTGCTCTGCACATTTTTTTTTCATATTTCACAACGAGGATAAAAAATATCAATTAGAGCGTATCTAATGTTTCGACATGTGTTAATATATCGATTTTTTTATCAGATAGTTGTATTTTTTTTTTCTTTCGAATGATAAATAGTTTGTTTTTACCCCTCGGTCAGAAAATAAATCACGTGTGAGAAAAGAGAAGAACTTGTTCAACCATTTTGCAAGTTCTATGTCGATTCGTCAAATAAATCTTGCAAAACGACAGTTAATTATTTTATAAAACAAGTCGTCCCAAGAACTATTGACAACGTCTTACAGAGATATTTAAAATATGGGCGAAGAAAGTTTTTTCACAGAATATTTGAAAGAAACTTCATCAAATGTGGCAGAATGGACTGCACTCTATTATTAAATAAATACATTTTCATCTTTTCATAGTTTTTCTAATAGAAAAAAGAAATTTATATTTTCCAATCGAATAAATATGCCGCCATGGTTGAGTGGTTACGTTGTTCGGCACGTACTCACAAGGTACTGTGTTCAAACCTCAGTAACATCACCCATGGAATGACCCTGGGCAAGTCACTAACGGCTAAGTTGTCTAAAAATGACTCATTCCACATGAGTCATTCGTGCTGACTACATCTTTGACCAGTATGTTGGACGGAAGAGGGTGCAGATACCGCCGTCTGTAAAAAGAAAAGACGAAAGAACCCGGCTCCATGTGGAAACTATAAATAATAACTGCGGTCGGCCCCAACGGGCGATAAGTCTATGGGACGTTATTATTATTATTATTAATCGAATAAATAACACCTATTTGCATACCCGGTAGTATCTTAGCATTAAATTTTTTTATAGGCGCATTTTATTTTTCTCTTGTCATTTCTTTTCCAAACGGGTGCTAAAAGCAAGTTATACATCATTCGAAGAAAGAAAAACAAAATACAACTATCTGATAAAAAAATCGATACATTAATACGTGTTGAAACATCAGATACGCTCTAGTCATTATTTTTTATCTTCGTTGTGAAATATGACAAAAAAAGTGCAGAGCAATTTTTTCACTGTCTCTTTTTTATGACTTTCAAGTTATGAGTGTCGTGTAGAAATAAGCAACACATAATTTGAAAGAGGTAAAAAACTCCAGTTGAATCCTAACAAAATTTCTTCATATAGAGATATATCTATGAAAAATATAGGAGTCAACATTTGGTACTATTAATTTTGCATCGTTTGTTATTCCCTCTAAGTCCTTTTACTCTTCGCTTTTTTACCTTAATAATAGTTTTCTTTATAAAACCAATGATGGTTATTGTCTTAATACAAAGGATAAAAGGTCTAAAAATACTTTGCCTTCTTGATACATGAACTATATTAATAAGTTATGAATTCAACAGAAAAAAAAAATGAAATTTCCTCTGATACAATGTTGCATATTTAAAGACAATAGATTTGCGTCAAGGTCATAAAAATGGAAAGAAAAAAAATCAAAATTTATGAATGATACATCATTAAAAATAAAATTAATTACTCTAAAATTATGTAAATAATTAAAGGAAAGATATCAGGTTGTGCCATATTGTAGTGATATAGATATAAATAAGAAAATAATAAAAATAGTATCGATTTGGTAAGGGTGTGGGTGTGTGGGTGTGGGTGTGGGTGGTGTGGGTGTGGGTGGTGTGGGTGTGGGTGGTGTGGGTGTGGGTGTGGGTGGTGTGGGTGTGGGTGTAGTGAAGAGAATATAAGCCCGCATCCCACACCCACACCCACATCCGGATGTAAAAAAAAGATCCGTAACCTACTCTCACTCCCACTCCAAACTCACAGCATCCAAATCCACACCCACACCCTTGCAAGGTCTTTAAATACTGGATGTCTCCTAATTATCTGAATTTGATAGATGCCCTCATGGGTTTTACCATTCTGAGAACGATTCAACATTTCAACTGGCGAAATCCTTGCAATTCTTGTGTTGTGTTTACATGAATCAGAATATCCATTACGAGTCTGGAGGAATTCAAGGATTTTCATTGTTGAGTGTCTAAGACTCCTTTGAATCCGATAGATACGATCTGGGTCTTCAATGTTCCGAAAGGTAGACAACATTTTAAATCAAGAAATCCTCAGAATCCTGGCTTACGCTTCGCATGCCTAAGAATCAGTATGGAAGCCTTTAAGATTTCTAGGATGTCAAGCATCTCCACTATTAGTTGTCGTGGGATTCTTAGAATTTGATACATATCACCATGGCTTTCATATTTTTCAAGATGACACAAGGTTTCCAATGATGAAATCCTACAAATCCTGATTAACGCTTGGCATTCCTACAAATCGAGAAGGGCATTTCCAGAATTTCAAGGACATCACAGATTTAGACTGCTAAATATCTAGCAATGACTTCATTTCGATAAATGCTACCGTATTATTCACTATTTTAAACATCACACAAAGTTTGAATCGATGGAATCCCAGGAATCCTTACTTCGGTGTTCAATATTAAAGTTTAACGTATCTGAAGGTCTTATAATTGTGAGAGTTTCAAGGGTTTTCCGTTACTCTACGTTTCTGAAGATATTTTACAATGTCAGGCTGTTTCAGGAACACCGGAATACGAAGATTAACAATAGTTTTGATTGTTTTTTAATGAATTGGATTTTTCAAGGATTCTAAGGTTTCGGAGTCCTTAAAAAATGGCGGCGTATCGGGCTCCGGGATTGGTTACATATTGTTATTATTATTATTATTATTATTGTTATTATTATTTATCAATGAAATTTATTTTTGAAATTTTTTTAGAAAAACACACACACACAATTTAAGATATTTTTTCTAAAGTTACTTGTCCTTTATTTATTGGATTCAATGTTGAATTTTTGTACTCGATGGTTTCCGCAATTGACGACATAGAGATTACCGTGTCGATCGAATGACAGACCGAACGGGTCATTCAGTTGATTTGATTGTTCTCCTTCACCATTTCCACCAACAATAACATTTCCTTGTGTAGCTCCTTTCGTCCAACACATGATTCGGTCATTCAATCCATCAGCCACATAGACAGTGCCCAATTCATCGACAACGACTCCTCGAGGATATGACAATTGTGCGAGACCATTTCCTTGTCCTTGACCACCAGCCACGACAATGCCTTGTGTTTCACCTTCCATCCATTTCATTACACGATGATTTCCACAATCAGATACATATACTGAATTATTTTGATCGACGAATACGTACCATGGGTCACAGAGTTGATCGAGACGATTTCCACGTCCATTACCACCTGCAACCACTATTCCTTGAGATTCTTCTCTTCGATATCGTCTCACTTCATTTTTTCCAAAATCGACGACATATAGAAACCCATTCTCGTTCATTGTCAAACTCACACATTTGAAGTTGGAGATGATTGTTTCTCCACTTGTTCCATTTCGACGAGGCCATCGAACTACTCTTCTATTCTCATAATCGCAGATAATGAGACTATCAGTCTCTTTGTCGACAATCACATCTGATGGGTAAGACAATTGATGTATTCCACTTCCTTGTTCATTTCCACCGGCAATCACTTGGCCATTCGTCGCACCTCTTTTCCATTCTATAATACGATGATTGTCTTGATCAGCAACATAAATTGTTTGATCATCATCCACATATAAACCCAATGGGTATGTGAGTTGATTGATTCCATTACCATCTCCATTACCTCCAGAGACACTAAGACCATTCTGTTGCCATCGAGCATTTGGATGAATATTAATGGAATTTGCACGTAATGGATAAACTGAAATAGAGAGAGAGAGAGAGAAAGAGACATGAAATGATAAATGGAAAGAGATATTGAGAGAGGGAAATTATACAAAGAAAACAGTAGGAAGCTCATTTGATTTTTTTTTACTTTTTGTTCTTGTATCTACCATATATTTGCATTATTCGACTATCCTCTAATATTATTCTCATAATGTAAAAAAAAATTTCCTATGAAAAAAAAAACAAACAAACAAATGATTTATTTCATTTTCTTTCTTGAAAAAAAAAATAATAAAAAAAATATATATTTTTTTTCTTTGATTTGTTTTATATATATATATATATATAATTATACAATATTCAAAAGAAAAAGAATCTTAGTTTTCTTTCTTTTTTACTATTGTTTTTATTACTCTCATAATCA